TATTTAATATAATTGTTTATATACAGTATATTAAATTAATTGTTATTTAAATACTTTTTATTTAACAATTATATTGTATTTACCAAAAAAATAAAAACTAAATTATATATGATTAAAAATTGATGAAAATTTATCTATTAAAACTATTACATGATATGAATTAGAATAATTATATATAACATAATAAGTACGATTTGATCAAGTGGTGTGATATAGCACATATAGATAGCTCGGTTGAACCGGTCGTAGTTGGCTCGGATTATAGACTGAAGATTAGCTAGGCCGGTTGATTTAGAAGTAATAAGTTATCAGATAGCTCGGATAACTAAGGAGTACATACCTCGGCGTATATGGAGCTCGAATATCACATCAAAGTTTGTAGCTTGGCACATAAGGAGCTCGGATAATATGTCGATGTCTATAGCTTGGCATATAGAGGCTCGGACAACGAGGCAAGTGCAAACATGTTTATAGCTCGAACATTGAGGAGCTCGACATTCTGTAGCTCGGTACAGGTTTCCAATAGGAAGCGGATCGACCTTCGTAGTAGGTCGTTTACAAGCTATCCACAAGAGACACGTGTAGAGACATGAATAGAAGGAATCAATAATCAAACGGATAAGAATAAAGCCAAATAGCTAATGGGCAAACCTACGAGTAGCATAGTAATCGACGGGTAGCCCTTTCGGGCAGAAAGAGCAGTTGGTTCAGGCCTTCGGGCAGTCGGGCAGGGCAGAAGTTATTCAGGAGGAAAATTAAAAAAGATATAAGTTAATCACACTTTATACATTATAAACTTTCAGCATATTTACATGCAGTTTTTCAGATCACTTTATTGACTTGAGTGTCAAGGGTGTGTAACTTCAAGAACCTTTCCCGAAGTCTTTCCAAGTCTCCGACGAACAAAACGGTTGTGGGATCTTGAATAGTATATTTGAGTTGTAAGTGCACATCATAGTGAATGTCATGTTTAAGTCAAATAATTATGTCCTCCTTTTAGAATATTTGTAATAATTTTAGACAAAAAAAAAAAAGGTATAAAAATTAATTATAAATTTTTTAACTAACATATTTTATTAGAAAACAATATCTAAGCTAAAGTATCTAAATCACGTACATTTTTAACTACATCTATAGTTCTTGACAAGAAGATTAGAGACAAATAAAGGTACTTGATGTGGGAACACGAGTACAGGCTAACTAATAAAGGACATAAAATCGTTATTAAAACCAACTAACGATTATAGTGATTTGACAGATTCATGAATCTTAATGTGATAAACGATGCTCGTGTTTCATGTGAGCAGCGACTTTTATGCCTTTTTTTAACTGGTGTTCAGTACATAAAAAATGGGCACACATTTATTTATTAAACTTGGTCCTGTGAATTCAATTTCATCGTTCATTCATGAACGATGTAATTAATAGAGTCCATCCTAGGCCACTTATCGGATCATGACTGGTTCTGAAGGGCCCAATGAATTTGTTTTGTCTTTTGTGCAGATCATCTTATAAGATGAGGCCCACTTTGCCCACTAGAGGATCTTTTTTAGAGGGTAAAATGAATTAATTTTAATTTTGTATTTAAATAATACTTAAAATATAATGATTAAAATTGATGTGATGTAAAAGTAGAAGAAATGTTTTAAAAAATGAGACGTAAGTAAGAATATAGAAGTGCTTGGATAGTGCTTGGAAAATTATGTAAATAACTCTTATCTCAAGCTTGACAAGCTCGGCACGTTTAACTAAACAAGCTTTAAACGAGTTTAAGCTTGGCTCGTTTATCAAGCGAACCAAACTAACTCGATCCTTAACTAGCTAAGATGAACCTAGTTCACGAGCAGCTCGTTTCGTTTCTTTTAACAACTCTTGTTTTATAACCATTTTAACATGTTTGAGTACATAAACTGAAAGAAACCGTACACCATATCAAGCTTCGAAAGACTTGCTCTACAGGACTTGCCTGCATCACAAATACTCCATTCACAATCACACTTCAATTCACTGAAAATATACTAAGATATGTAGCAATTATTGAGGAATTACGCATAGAAGATTAAGAAAGTTCATTGAGACGATAACTGTTTATATGTTTCATTGTCAAAGATATACATGTTGAAATACTACCACTCATACAAACAAGATATCCGCATAATCTTACACAATGAATGAAAGAATCATAATCGATATAAACTTTCTTTTTCAGATGAATCACATCGACCTTCTAAACTTATTATCCAAAACTCATGACAAGATATACACAGTTCACACCTTAACGGGATACGATACAATCTTGTCGAGAAAATACTCAATGTATCAACATCTAATCTATTCGAATTTCAAATCGAATCTCTACTTAAATGAAGACATATAAAAAACGCAAGCAAATGCTCGAAAATGCCGTCTTGCGTATGTAGAATATCACAAACAATATATAACTATACCATTGCAGGAAGCATCACTCAGTAAATTCAAAAGAATATAAAATGAATTGAAATGGACGAACTGAAGGATAAAGGCAGGTAAAAAACTCTATTCATTCATGGCAGAAGCTACATAGTTTAAAAGGGAAACAGGACAAGTAAAAAAACGTAATTAAAACCACGACTCTTTAACACTTATGTAATTACAACACTACCCTTAGAACAAAACTAGCGCTTTCTTCACTTCTTTCCCCTCTTGGAGGCAGCCTTCTTTGCCGCCGGCGACTTGATGGATTTCGGCTTCACGCTCTTCGCCGGAGCCTTCTTCTGGGGAGCCGCAGCAGCAGCCTTCTTTCTCGGAGTCGACTTAGCTGCTGGCTTCGCCACCTTAGCCGGCTGTTTTTTCTCAGCCTTTGAGGTTTCCGGCGCCTTCCTCTTTGTTCCGGCCTTGGCCTTCACAGGGGCAGCCGCTTTGGCCTTTGCAATTGGCTTAGCGCCAGCCTTCGGTTTCGCGGCAGCAGTTTTAGCCTTTGGTTTCGCGGTGGCAGTTTTAGCCTTCGGTTTGGCTTTGGAGATGGCCGCCTTCTTTTCCTTGGTGCTGGAGGCTTTGGGCTTAGGTTTCGGGACGGAAACAGACTTCTTCTTCGCCGGAGGGGCTGGATTGGCCGGGCGAGCCGACGGGAGCTTGAAGGAGCTCTTCACCTTCACGAGCTTATCGCTGGCCACGAGCTTCTTAAGCTGGACGAGCAGAACCTTCTTGAAATTCGAAGGCAGACTCTTCTGCTTATCCTCGATGAACTTGGCGATGGCGTACTGGCTCGATCCAGTCCGGTCCTTCAACGTGACGATCGCGTCCTTGATCATCTGCATGCCCACGCAAAAATCAGATCCCATTTGATGAAATCGGAAACTTCAGGGAAAATATTAATAGCACGGATGTAATCGTTGATTGATTGATCAATACCTCGAAGTACGGAGGGTGGGTGGGGGAGGTGCGCTTCTTTGTAGCAGGAGCCTTCTTCGTCTTCGGCTCTTTGGGCTCCGGCGCCGGTGCTTCTTTGCTCTCCTGAACCTCGGGAGCCGGAATCTCAGCCGCGGACTCGATCGGGACAGCTTGTTCTTCAGTAGTGGCCATGGAGAATCTCACTGAAAAATTAGGGTTAGGAATTTGAGGCAAATTTGTGAAAATTGTTGGTGAGTGAAACTGAAAAAACAAAAATGGCGGATTTAAAGAGCTGAGATTGGGTGCTCGTATCGTGAAAGCGAAAGCTGATTGGTGGAGGGACAAGTGACGCGGATCGAAGTGAAGAATTGGGGTTTTAAATGTGGACCGTTAGATGCACGTTTAATCTACGGTGTTTGTGCGCTTTGATGATTGGGGCATGGATTGAGGGAATTTTAGAGTTGAATAGTACTATATGTTTAAGGTGTGTTTTTCTGCCTGATTGATTGGAGAATAACTTCAGCTACACTTTTGGGATTGTGATGAAATGAAGTTCATTTTGTAGGGAATTTCGTAAGCTTTCTAATGAATACTTGTTTGCCCGATGCCTAGAAAACGGTAGTGAGATATTGCCTTTCGAATGCCAAGTGGTCGATGTAGAAGTTTTTGCATAATGTACTGTAATTTTCGAGCATTATGTGATAATGCTCGGAGCATAAGTACAATTCTTTTTGGTGGATATGATTAGTGTTAACTTACGGTTCTATGTATTTTATAACTGAGGAAATGGAACGACATTTGGTTATGGAAATGTAAATTTGAAACAAGTTAAAGATGAACAAACAAAAAAAGTTTGTTCAAGGAAATTAGTTAAAGCAAATAGTTTAGCATCTAACCACACTTTCATGTCGAAATTTTATTACGACAAACCAACAAATGGAAACACAAAGTTTACATCCTTATACCAACTACACTGCTGCGCCACAATCATTGCGCTACTCTTTTGTAGCGCAAAAAATCACTCCAATGCTGCTTCATTTTTCCACGCTACTTCACAGTTTGCTACAGTGTTGCGCCAGATGTGGCGCAACACTGTAGCAACGCCAGATTATTTATTTATTTATTTATTTATTTATTTATTTATTTATTTATTTGTTTTATGTATTTTAAATGATATTTTTTTGTATAATGTATATTAAAAAATGCATTTTTTTTACTGATAACTTTGTGTAATGTACTTTTTATGCTAAATAATTTTGTATTTTTTATTTATTGATGTATTTTAATTTTATTTTGTAATTTTTTAATATTAATATGATACCATATGAATAAAAATTTAACACACTCAGACAAGTTTATTTCATTAAAATTAAGTTTACAACACACATAAATCATAGAACATAAAAATAAAAACAACATGATTAAAAATGACTTAACACACCAATAAAAACAACATGATTAAAAATGACTTAACACACAAATATACCAATTTATTTGAAATAAAAAAAAATAAATATATAATATATTTAATATAGAGTAAAATGTAGAGATAAGGGCTGAAGATGAATGTTCAACTCTACTCTAGAATAGAGTAAAGTCCGCGCTAGAGTAGAGATAAGGGCTGGAGATAGCCTTATACTCTAAAAACGAGCAAATAACTACTAAATTTACAATAAGTATGTTTATTAAACGAGGCTCTATAAGCATGGATGGAGTTTAAATTCATTGATTTGAACATATGTTGTGTAAGTTAATAGTATTTCTATGGCGTTGTGTAAGTTTAGATTCATTGATTTGAACATATGTTGTGTAAGTTGATAGCAAATAATTGTGTTTAGTTGTTGCCCACCAAAAGTTGATTCGACGGTAATTGATTTTAAATCAAGAAAAAAGAACAAAATAGTAATTTTAAGAATGTTGAGCTGAATATTGTTCACTTTTTTCATTATTTCACTTTGAGAGAATATTCTCTTGGCATTCTTAATGAGCCCCTATTCAGTAAAACTCCTGACATTATTTATGGTGGATTATGTTGTGGTATCATCCCAAGATCATAAACATCATTTGAGATAAAAACAAGTTTCTATTACTCACAAGAATAAAAACAAGAGATTTACAAACTCTAAACAAAAAACTCTCAAACACTCCACAACTCTTTCTTGGTTGTGTTTCAACACTCTCAAGGTTGATTGATCACACTCTTGGATGATTTGAATGAATGAAATGAGAAGCCTATTTATAGGCAAACTTTAGCACACCACCATTGACAAGTGGTTTGTGTGAATGGTGAAGGTTTGGTGGAGGCATCCATTGAAGAATTCTCCATTGGTGTGCTTCATGGAAGACTTCTACCTTTGTGTGCTACAAAATGATGCATGGAACTTTCAATTCTCCCATTTCCATGCAAGTTCTGAACAATCATTCCTACTATGTCTCTGCATAGTTTAAGCTTATCCAGTGTAACCACTTTTGTCAACATATTTGATGGATTCTCCTTCGTATTGATCTTCACTAGTTTCAACAGTTGTTGATCAATCTTCTCGCGTATCCAGTGATACCGAACATCAATATGCTTTGTGCGTGCATGGTACATTGAGTTCTTGCTCAAGTCAATAGCACTTTAACTATCACAATATACCTTGTACTCTTTTTGCTTAATCCCAAGTTCTTGGAGATAACGCTTTAGCCACAACATTTCTTTACCAGCTTTAGCGGCAACAATATATTCAGCTTCTGTTGTGGATAAAGCAACACACTTCTGCAATCATGATTGCCAAGAAATGGCTCCCCCTGCAAAAGTGTAAACATAGCCCGAAGTAGATTTTCAACAATCAATATCTCTAGCCATATCAGCATCAGTATATCCTTCCAAGATTGGATCAGCTCCCCCGTAACAAAGACATAACTTAGAAGTACTCTTCAAGTATCTGAGAATCCATTTGACTGCCTCTCAATGCTCCTTTCTGGGGTTAGAAAGAAAACGACTTACTACACCCACTGCATGAGCAATATCTGGCCTTGTACACACCATTGCATACATCAGACTTCAAACTGCTGAAGAGTATGGCACAGCAGACATCTCCCCCATTTCTTCCTTGGATGTTGGACATGATCTTTTGGTCAACTTGAAATGATTCGCAAGTGGAATACTCACTGGTTTGGCATCACTCATATTGAATCTTTCAAGTATTCGTTCAATATACTTCTCTTGAGATAGCCATAACTTGCCGTTCTCTCGGTCTCGAGTAATCTGCATCCCAAGAATCTGTTGAGCCTTTCCTAAATCTTTCATATCAAAAGACTTGGAAAGTTCTTTCTTCAGCTGACATATCTTCTCTGCATCATTTCCAACGATCAACATGTCATCGACGTACAGTAGAAGAACTAGAAAGCCCCATTTGAGTATCTTTTGATGTAAACACACTCATCTGCAGTAGTCTTCTTATAACCTTGACTTTTCATGCATGAGTCAAACTTCTTATTCCACTGCCTTGGTGCTTGCTTCAAACCATACAAGCTTTTAGATAGCTTGCACACTAGGTTCTCACTTGAAACCTCAAAACCTTCTGGTTGTTGCATATAGATTTCTTCATTCAAATCTCCGTGAAGAAAAGTTGTCTTCACATCCATCTGTTCAAGCTCCAAATTCATACTTGCTGTCGAGCCATGTATGACTCGAATTGAGGTCATCTTGACAACTGGTGCAAAGATCTCGTCAAAATCAATCCATTTCTTCTGCTGAAAGCCTTTGACTACCAATCGAGCTTTGTGTTTCACCACTTGTCCATTTGCATCTTTCTTCAGCTTGAACACCCATTTGTTTTTCAAAGCCTTTTTCCCTTCTGGAAGTTTAACAAGCTCATAAGTTTGATTTTTCTGCAGAGAATCTAACCCTTCCTGCATCGCAACCATCCATTTTTCTTTATCCTTATGAGATATGGCTTCTTGAAAACTCTCTGGTTCTCCATCTTCTGTCAATAGAAGGTATTCAGATGATGAATACCTTTTTGATGGTATATGACCCCGTTCAGATCTACGAGTGGGTAGAACCATCTGAGAAGAACTTCCAACATTGGTGTCTGGCAAAATGGGTTGTGGCTCCTCTTACTCTGGCAAGATGGGTTGTTGCTCCCCTTGCTCTGCACTCTCCTCCGTCTCCTCATCTTCTTCTGGTACATCATCTTCATTGTTTCTCCGGAACAATTCTGGTGCTTCATCTGAAACTTGCGCACCCACGTTTGACTTTTGAGACATCTTGGGCTTTTCGATATCTTCTATTGTCAAATTTTCTTGGAACACAACATCCCTACTTCTGATCACCTTTTTCTCCTTTAGAACCCAAAATTCGTATCCAAACTCTTCATCCCCATAACCAACGAAAATGCATGGGATTGACCTCGCATCGAGCTTCTTTCGGAGCTCTTTGGATACATGTGCATATGCTACACAACCAAATACTCTGAGATGTGAGTATGTCGGATCTTTACCAGTCCATATTCTGTCTGGAACTTCAAAATTTAATGGAACTGAAGGTGATCGGTTGATCAGATAACATGCGGTCTTGACAGCTTCTCCCCAAAATGGCTTTGGTAATTTAGCCATATTCATCATGATTCGGACACGCTCCATGATAGTCCGATTCATTCTTTCAGCAACACCGTTGTGCTGAGGGGTACGTGGTACTGGCTTCTCATGTCGAATGTCATATGTCCTGCAATATGCATCGAACTTCTTGGAAGTATACTCGCCTCCATTATTAGATCGGAGACATTTCAGCTTTTTTCCTGTTTCACGTTCCACCATGACGTGAAATGACTTGAAGTACTCAAACATCTGGTCCTTCATATTCAGGAAATATACCCACACCTTTCGAGAAGCATCATCAATGAAAGTAAAAAAATATCTGCTTCCACCTAGTGATTCAACCTTCATGGGACCGCAAACATCAGAGTGTACCAAGCTTAACAACTCTGATCTCTTTGTTGAACTGGCATTGAATGAGACTCTATGCTGCTTGCCGAACATGCAATGACTGCAAGAGCCCGTCGATGCACTCTTATCAACCTTGATAAGATCCTTATTCATTAGGGTAGTCAGCCATTTCTTACTCATATGGCCGAGTCTCTGGTGCCATAGATCCTGGGAAACCTCCACTGCAACATTGAGACTTTCTGTACTAATCTTCAAATGTG